GAACATGTGTGATGAATTGCTCAAGAATGAGAATGAAAAACTTTTATTATTTTATTATATATTTTATTATTATTTTATTATATATTTTATTATTATTTTATTATATATTTTATTATTATTTTATTGTATATTTTATTATATATAGACTGTTATTAAGTGTACCTTACATGGTTGTGTAATGAATGAATAGTTATCAATGCAAAATTGTTGTATACATTTACAACAGTTTATACAAACAAACTAAGTATTTTTAATATATAAAAAAGATAAAAGCGTTTCAAAACCTAAAATACTACAACAAATTATTCTTTAAGCATAAAATACACAAACTATGAATTACATTTCATGTAATAAGACTAAGCATTTGAATTATGAAAAGGGGGTGATAAAATGTCCCTCGTGCGGTCCCGATATGTTTAATGTACTGCTAAGATTTAACTTTCTGTCGTTTGCGAGTGAAAATTGGCTAAGATCCACTTCCTTGCTTTTTATTGCTTGGTAAAGAGGATTTTTATATTGACCATATTTCTAAATCTGACTGTAGTAAACTATTGAAAATTCAGCCAAACCAGCACACTTATTTTAATTTGATTTAACTAAGTTAATAAAATTAATTAATAAAACGTCTTATGGCCAATTAATAACTATTTCAGGATGTCATGTTTAAAAGGTGGCAAGTTGAACAGATAGAATATCCCAATGTACGAACGAGCTTACCAAATCCTTTACATAGGAAAGGCTGAAGTTCTTAGGAAGGTCATTTTCGTAAACATAATAAAAAGGCTTGAACTACCATATGTGCTTACTATAAGCTATATTCTACAAATACGTTGAAATAGTATAGTAAACAGACAAAACAAAAGCAATACACAGTCGGTTCTTAATAGGTTATAACTACTATTGAAAGTTGTGATTGAAAAATAAACATCGTGATAAATTTGCCTTTTTTTAAGAAGGTCGATGACCAGTTAATACGGTTAGATTATTGATAGTTAGTGTAGGTGTATCGTTAGCGTGCCGTACTTTCTGTGTTAATACGGTTAGATTGTTGATAGTTAGTGTACGTGTATCGTTAGCGTGCCGTACTTTCTGTGTTAATACGGTTAGATTGTTGATA